CCCGATTTCCAACAGCCACAACAGCAGCATCAGCATCAGCAACAGTACACAGACGACTTTGCTAGCGTAAACCGCAACATCCACGATCTGCGCCAGCAATTCGAGCAGATGTCTGTAAGGCAAGAGCAGATATCCCTAAGACAAGAAGCCTTCGACACCAGACTGGAGACGATATACCAGTATCAGGAAGGGATGAGGCAAGACTGGGCAACGTTCCAGCAAGAGTACCGCGATGAAGCCCAGGACCAAGCAGAGTTCCAGAGACATATGTACCAGCAATTCCCCTCCTACGGATCATCTCCAGACGATAGCCCATAGTCTTAGGGATAACACTTATAGAATAGGGCTGCTGTAATGAAATCTTTCATAAATAAAATTTTATTCCATGCATCTTCTTATTATCCCTTCCAAAAGTCAGCGTAATCAAAAGAAGATAAAGAGTAAAAAGACTTACGCTCAAGAAAAAAAAAGGCAAAATCCAAAATCGCGAGAAAAAAGAGATAAAACCGCGAAAAATGGCAGGATTGAAACAAAGTCAACCACCTTGACCAAAAAATTCTTCGACAACCAAGCAAGAGTCGAACACAATCAAAGCCCACCCGACCAACCAGCAAGAGTTGGGTGATCACCATCAAAAGATCAAAAACAAAGAATCCCCAGCAACCAACAAGGCTAGATGAACACCAACAAAATCCCCGGCACAGACCGGATGACCAAATCAAAGACAAGAGAACACATTTCTTGCGGTAGCCGCCACCACAACCAAAGGATCGGCTACCGCAAGAAGGAGCATCCGGAGGCATAACACCAGATGGGGGTGTGTACTCATCAGGCCTTACAAAAGGGGCTTACCAGACGGGGGTTCATACTCGTCAAACACCAGATGGGGGTGTATACTCATCAGGCCTTACAAAAGGGAGCTTACTGGATGAGGGTTCATACTCATCAAAACCAGATAGGGGTTCGTACTTATCAGCCGAAAGGATCAGCTATCGCCCGAAGAAGCATCCTGGAAGCACACTTTTTCCCGAAAGATCAACCGCCACAAAGACAGAAAATCTGAAGGACAACCGGGCAAAAGGGTCAACTCCTTTACCCTCCAGTCGATCTCCTTGGCACAACAGGCCAGCAGTCGACTAGTCGGGTAAAGGGGGGGCAGCTGTAGACCCCTAATCTTGCCCGACCTCATAATAAAGACCAGAAGACCTCCTTTTTGAAGATGGATGAAGCCTAAAAAGCCATTAGGAGAGACTATTAGGCCCCATACTAGGATAGGAGGGATTTTTGGCCAAAAAATAAGGATTTTCGCCTTTTAAGGTTGAGACCGCCGTCTCGGATTCGAGACTGTCGTCTCGCCTTTCGCAAATGGCGAGACCGCCGTCTCGTTTGGCGAGACGGCCGTCTCGCCATTCCTGCAAGGTGAGACGACCGTCTAAATTGGCGAGACAGCCGTCTCGACCTTGTCAGACGAGATGGCTCGTCTCGACCTGACAGGCGCGAATCCCTATAAATAGGAGCGCCATTCCCCTCATTTCCCACAGTTCTTCCATTCTCTCTCTAGATATTTCTTCAAATTCTCTTTCTAGAACCCCTCCAAAGCATTTCTGGAGTTTCTGAGAGTTTTCTTGAGTGTTTTATAGCGTTTTTGAGTGGTTTCGGCACTGTAAAAAGTGAAGGGCTGCCAAAAAACACCGTAATTGCAAAAGATCAATAGAAAAGCTTGCTTCGGAGGTTTTCACTCTCTCTCTCTCTCTCTCTCTCTCTACTTTAGTGCTTTAATTTTAAGTTATGCAATAGAAACTAGGGTCATGTAGTCATAATTTTAAATTCCGCAAAATAAAGGGTAAAAGTGTATTTTTCACCGGTTTATTTATTTATCCAAAGTAGCTAGCCCATCATAGGGAACCCGAAAGGGGCGTCGTAATGGAACTAACACTTCCCTTACACGTAACTAACTCCCTTAACGAACTCTGGTTCTAATGACCAAAGTTGGTTTTTCAAAAACCAACGCCTTTTAACTCCTTTTCCGATGTTTCTGGTAAAAACGTCGGTGGCGACTCCAGAAGAACACTTCAAAAACTATTTCTTGGTTTTGCCCGGTTATCGGACAATCCAAGAACGCCTTTTCGAAAACCTCGCCCCTAGGTTCAGCCCGGTTATCGAACAACCTAAAGGCGTTGTAACCACACTAATAAAAACGTGAAAAATGGAAAGTCGGAACCATCGCGTCGCTCCGACCGCCTCGTTTTGACGGCGGCGACACTGAGCATTTTAAGAGAGTTTTTATAGTGTTTCGAGAGAGAATTCGACGTTGTATAGCGAAGGGTTGCCAAAATGTACCCTATTTTTATCAAAAGCTTGCTCCAGAGGTTTCTTCACTCTCTCCCTCTCTTTTACTGCCTTTTTTGTACTTATATTAAATTGTGCAATAGCTACTAGGGCCATGTAGTCATTATTTTTTTAATTCCGCAAATAAAAGGGTAAAAGCGTCATTTCAAAAGTTTATTTATAAAATAACTGGCCTATCATAGGGAACCTGAAAGGGGCGTCGTAGGGGAGCTAATACATCCCTTACACGTAACTAACTCCCTTATCCAACTCTGGTTTTAACGACCAAAGTTGGTTTTGCTTAAAAAACCATCGCCTTTTTCTTTCCTTTTTCGATGTTTCTGGTAAAAGCATCGGTGGTTGTAGACCCCTAATTTTGCCCGGCCTCTCAATAAAAGACCAGAAGACCTTCTATCTGAAGATAAAGCGTCAATGGACGTCTATCGGCATCAAGCGACTTCCGAATAAAGAAAGGAAAGCTTCCCGGGAGTCCTAGAACACAAAATCTGGCCAAAACAGTCGAGATGGCCATCCCAAAAGTCGGGATGGTCGTCCCAGTCAGCCCAGACGACCGTCCCACATGCCAGACGGCCGTCTCGGCCAGTTTTGTTACCTGGGACGGCCGTCCCATATCCCAGACGGTCGTCCCAGCCTCCCCAGACGGCCATCCCTGTTTTCTGCACCCCAGACGGCCGTCCCGAGCTGCCAGGCTGCGAAAACTATAAATAGGAAGCTCAGTTGAGCGTTTTTCAGACCCCAGACACTTGTCTTCTCTCCCTCTTTCGAATGAACTCTCTGATTGCCTAAAAAGGTAACAATCGGTTAAGGAAGATTCTTCTAGCATTCGATTCTTCTTAAAATTTTGGTAGAGTCGGTCTTGTATTCAGGGAGGAGAGTCTTTGTAGAGCGGGGGATTGCCAAAACGCATCCTCACAGTTAAAGATTTGCAATAAAAAGCTTGCTACGGAGATTCTTTTCACTTCTCTTCTCTTTTATTGCTTTATTTACTGCTTTATGTATGCAATAGAAAATAAAATCATGTAGATAGCCATTTTTTAACATATTGTATAAATAAAATAGGGTAATAGCGTAATTTCTCGTAATCTTTACTTAATGAATTAATCCGTCATAAGGAACCCGAAAGGGGCGTTGTGGGGTGCTAACACCTTCCCCACACGTAACTAACTCCCTTACCTAACTCTGGTTATAATGGCCAAGTTTGGTTTTTCTTGAAATCAACGCTTTTTTATCCTTTTCCAATGTTTATGGTCAAAACATTGGTGGCGACTCCATAAGAACCCTTTTGCGAAAACCTTGCTTTTATTAGAGGATAGTTCAGTTGTTGAGCACCTCAGAAGCACTGAACATATTTTAAAATAAAATGCGAGTCTAAACCATCTTTTCACGACCGCTCGCATAAACGTTCGAGATGTCCCTAGATGTCGGAACGGACGGCAGGGACAGATGGCGACTCCACTGGGGAAGCTAGAGAGTTGATACCATTTAGTGATGGATAAATTCAAACTAAGTAAAGATTTGAAATTACGCCTTTACCCTCCGTTGTATGTTTTATTGTATGGCCTTAATAACTGCTGTATGATTATTTTCTGCAAATTGTCTGAAATATAAACTGCACACAAAAACCCTTGCACACAACAATCCCTCAATACCCGGGGGCAAGAGTGAATACCTATAGGGAGTGGGTGGCAGATACGACCGGCTTGTTGGCACACGGGGCTACTACCGTTGTCGGAAAACCACCAACTCAAGGTGATAAATCTCTTCTTTTGGTCCAAGGATGTCGACACGGAGTTCCGTGCATGACCCGAGGATTGAGAGATTGAGAGGTCCCTATAATGGGGGCACCTTGGGGACCTTTGGCCTTGGTGAGAACAGTTTAGAACCACCTAAACCAAGCACGTTTCTACAGGAAAACCCCACCTCGAAATAAGCGTGGCTCTGCTTGCGGATGAATAAATTGTGTGTGCATTCGTTTGCTGCATTTGTATTGATGCATTAGCATAGGGTAATCATACAACAGACAAAAAATAGTAAAAAAATCCTAAAAACCATAAAAGTGATAAGAATAAACCAACTTTATCTCGGATAGTCTTCAGTTAAGCTAGCCTGGTTTCAGGTTCTTTGTAAGCTAAGTAGCCACGTTGACCGAACGGAAGAGATAAATGGTCATAAAAAATATAAAAAACGATTAAAACCATAAAAAACCTTTTTAT